ACAGTAAAGGAGTTTAAGTATGTGTGGGATAGGCATAAGGCTATCCTAACTATAAGATAAGGCCAGGGACTAATTAAAGTATTTAGAAAATTGAGCAGACTAGTTGGGCCGAATGGTTCTTATCTGCCTTCACATTCTATGTTTCTATGTTTCATACACATACAGACTGCTGAGTCCATACACACACAGTGCTGAGTCCATACACACAGACAGACTGCTGAGTCCATACACACACACTGCTGAGTTCACACACACAGACACACACACAAAAGCTTCCTCACTAGCAGACAGACAGACACAGACACACACACACCTGAGCATATCAAGCCTACCTGTTGCTGGGGGTCAGACAGCCATCTTCTTGCCTTTCCAGCAGCAGCATGGTCTGCTGCTTAACGGCAGGGGTGGGGCTTATGTACGGAAGCGGGGCTTCATTTGGCGGCGGGGCCTGTGCCGGGGAGCCTGTCAGTGCTATATTGTGTTAAGCCCACCACTTCACCACAGTTCCCTAATATCGTTGGGTTCAACACGAATTATATCTTGGGAGACAAATTAAATTAAATAGTGCTAGTGCTAAATTAACTAAATTGTATTTAATGAATCTGTTGTAAGAGAATTGTGAATCTATATATAATGCAAATTTAATGTGATAAACACAATAAAAAAAATTGTCTCAAAACTAAGCAATCAAACTGATGGTGCTTTGATGTATATACTCACAATGCATATGATAGATCTGGTCTATATCAAATAAAAATTATTATTAAAGTGACATTACTATCCAAAACCTCCTCAAATTTATATCCTCCTGTGGTCACCTGCAAAGGAACAGCTGGGGTCAGTCAGAGTGCTCAACCCAGAAGGAACCTGGTCTGGACTCCAAACATACATGGAAAAAAAGGGAAATCCCAAGTATATATATATAAACTCATGAGTGATTGTTGCTAATCAACATGATGTGGTGGAAAACCACAATTTAAGTTTCCAGAGCCTCCAAGTGTGTAGAAAATGTTGTAACACCTTTTAAAGCTTTTATTAATTTAATTCAATGGTCAGGGGGCAAGGTAACAAGCACTCCTCATATTGAAACATCAATGGAAACTTTCTGTCTCTGAGGGCATAGAAGAATTTTATAGCAAAGAGAGAGAGATTTTGGCATGAGTGGTGCGGGCTGGCGGGTCCAAAAGGCGGCACTAGCGGCAGCCTTAGAATGCTAGAGAGGGGCTAGCTGTTCCTGTCCCACCTGACCACCAGGGACAAGGCTTCCCCCTCTCTGGTCCAAGGTAATACTCAGGAAGGGGGAATACACTTTTTTTTTTTTTACTTTTAAGCAGCCTCTGCCCTCCCTCTACATCCCCTAACGCCCCCCCCCCCAGCCCTTTCATCCCACTCTACAGCCCCTGCTTCCCTTCTATATCTCTTGTGCCCCCACAGCACCTACATAACCTGCCCTCCTTTAGAACCCTGTGCCTGTCTATACAGCCCCTGTCCCCCCTTTCTATAGCCACAGCCCCTTTCTATAGCCCCTGTGCCCCCTCTCAACTTCTGTGCCCCTACCACAGCACCTGCCTTCTCTCTATACCCCCTGTGCCCCACTTCTACAGCCCCTGTGCCCTTCTCTATAGTCCATGATGACCAAGGATAAGGTGGTCTCAGCCACCTCTAAGCCCCTGTGTCTCCTTAAAGCCCCTGTATCCCTTGTGCCCTCTCTCAGCTCCTGTGCCCCCACCACAGCCCCTGCCTCCTTTCTATACCACATGTGCTCCCTCTCAGCCCCTGTGTCTTCTTCTACAGCCCCTATGTCCCCCTGTGTCCCCTCTCTACATCCCCTGTATCCCACTGACAGCCCCTATAGCCCCACCACAGCCCCGGGTCCCCTTTACAGCTCATGGACCCCTCTACGGGCACTGTGTCTTCTTCTACAACCCCTATGTCCCCCTCTGCCCCCCTCTACAGCCCATGTATCCCACTCACAGCCTCTATGGCACCACCACAGCCCTTGATCCCTTTTACAGCTCCTGGACCCCTCTACAACCACTGTGCCCACTTCTACAGCCCCTGTGTCCTACCTTTGTCCCACCCTTTCCTTCCATTCTAATGCCCCTGTTCCCCTCTCTACTGCAACTGTTGCCAACCTCTATCCCCCCTGTTTCCCTGCCTCTGTCTACAGCCCCTGTGCCCCCTCTACAACTCTTTCCACTACCCTTCCCTGCAGCCTCTGTTCCCCCCTCTAATGCCCCTGTTGCCAACTTTTAGCACTCCTGACCCCATCTACATCCCCTGTCCCCACACCTCAACCCCTGACCACCCTGTTACCCGCTTTACAGCCCCTGACAACCAGGGATATGGTGGTCCCAATCACCTCTCAGCTCCTGTCCAACCCCTTCTACATCTTCAGCCCCCCTACAGTCCCTAACTCCCCTGCTACACATCCCTCCAACTACAGCTTCTATCCACAGCAAAAAATGCATCTTCGCCTGTGTAGCCAAAAATGATTGCACCGACCCTGCCTCTAATAGCAGTATGAGTGACTGCCACTGGAGGTGTTACTAGGCAGCAATGCAATTCTCTGAAAAGGCAATTTTTACATTAAAAAGCCTGCAGGGACAGGTTATAGACTGCAAACCCACTTTAAATTGTCAATACAGAAAAAAACAAACTGGTTATTTAGTTACTCCAATGGCCATTGGAGGGAATGCCCGCCTGCCACGTCAAGGCTAACCTCTCAGATGGGTCCTACACTAACCTTTCACCATGCTTCCTTGAGCTTCTGGCAAAGATATCTCAAATGAGACAGAGAGGGTTTTTTTTATATATACACCCCTAAATACTTATTAACCATTAAAGGACCACTATAGTGCCAGGAAAACAAACTTGTTTTCCTGGCTCTATAGGGTCTTTGGTTCCCCCCCACCCTCAGGGTCTCCCTCCCGCCGGACTCTAGGAGGAGGAATGGGTTAAACACTTACCTTTCTCCAGCACCGGGCTCCCTCGGCGCTGGGTACTCTCCTTCCTCTTCTGACGTCATCCACCGAATGCGCATGCATGGCAAGAGCCGCGCGCGCATTCATTCAGTCCATAGGAAAGCATTCCTCAATGCTTTCCTATGGATGTTAGCGTATTCTCACTGTGAAAATCACAGTGAAAAGTGCGGAAGCGCCTCTAGCGGCTGTCAATGAGACAGCCACTAGAGGCTGGATTAACCCTATTGTAAACATAGCAGTTTCTCTGAAACTGCTATGTTTACAGCTGCAGGGTTAACCCTAGATGGACCTCGCCCCCAGACCACTACATTGAGCTGAAGTGGTCTGGGTGCCTATAGTGGTCTTTTAATAGGTTACAGATGGGATGAGCGGCAGCATTGTAACATAGCTGTGTGAAACAAAAAGTGAATACAAATACCAAAAAACAAGTCCTGCGCTCAATCTCCCATCACTCCTGGGCAGCAGCAACGACCATAGTGCACGTCAGCCCCAATACATACAGTAAAAAACTAAGAAAAAAAGTTACCTGCACTCTCTCCCAAATCCCTATGTATATTTAAACAAATGGAGGTTATTTAATTACACCAGTGGATATTGGAGGGAATGCCTGCCTGCCACGTCAAGGCAAACCTCTCAGGTGGGTCCTACACTAACCTTTCAACTTGCTTCCTTGAGCTTCTGGCAAAGAGATCTCTAAATATCTCTCCATAAGTTTAAAGGGTAATCCAGAAGTGGACCCCTTGCTCATGGTGCCTAGAGATATATCATCTATGCCTCACTGAGGATGCCTAAAAAGGCTGAAACGATTGTCTGGGGTTGCTGTGTCCCTCGTGGAGAGGCAACTTGCTGGGATTTTGGATCTGGACTGCTCGTATGGGTGGGACCAGTCTGATATGCTTCAGATATGTTCTCTCTGTAATGGCACAATATGAACTAAAACCAGCTTGAGATCTGAGCGGGGACCCAAAGGGCAGGCTATTTCAGCTGCTGTCCGCTCTCAGTATATTCTTGCACCCCGTTTTTTTGCTCTAAATATGTGTGTGTGTGTATATATATATATATATATATATATATATATATATATATATATATATTACACACACACACACATTGTTTGTTTGTTTTTTTGGGGTGGGGTGGGGTGGGGTGGACATATTTCAGAAATATGCTATATGCCTTTTTGTGGCACGATTTGTAATCAAATTTGGGTCAACAGCATAAAAATAAGTTTTTAAAGGTATAACTTGGAGTTTTTTTCAACCTATATTACTATGTGAGTATGTATCAGTCCCCTGCTGTGTAAAAAGCTAGAAGAGCACCAAATTTGGCTAAGACACGTCCTGGTTTGTTGAGCACTCACTGCAAAAGCTTTTAATTCTGCAGATTTTAAATAAATTAATGAATTCCACAGGCGCTTAGTAAACTGATAAAGGTAATAATAATACAAGATATACAAAATAATACATAAAGAGAAAGTATGGCTAAAAAAACCCCCAATGTTTTATGTATTTTAATATAGATCTGTATTTTTAATATAGATAAGCTTACAGAAACAAACATTATATTCACACACTGTGCAGAAATACCCCCCAAAAAACACAAAATATCAAACCATGATATTTGCACCTCTAATCACATATTACATTTAGTGACAGTTTTTTTGTATGTATTTTTTATAAATTATAATAATTACTATCTGTAGCAGTAAAATTAATAATGAGTAATCTCTGTAAAAAGTGATGAATTCCAAGTCTAAGCATCACGTGAATTTTTTCATACTCTTACCAAATCATGGCTCCTCTTAGTATTTGCATTGTGCGATTAAGTAATATCAAATACCACTCAACCCAAATGCACGTCCATTAGTTAGTTACATCATTTCCACATTGCACAAGACACTGATTAATATAAGTTACTATGGTGAATATGGCATAAATATAGACAGATCATATTTCCACTTATACATAATGAGATGTACTTACACCTTCTATAAAAAGAGGAGAAGCACAATTAGTAGCTCATTCGCTACTTGGATACCTAAGGTATGTAACATTACCCTACTTCTTTAGTAGGTTCTCTTTTTTTTTTTTTTTCTTAATATTTATAATTTTTAATGGTATGTTAGTTAGAAATGTTATGCAAATCCCATATAATTATAATTTAAATTACAAATCATATTAAAAAAAAAAAAACAACTGTTATTTCTGTTCTTATTAAGATTATTATAACTTTAAACATACATTTTCTAGAAGTTCCTCTGAATTATTGAACACTTTATACCGGCAACTATCAATGTTGTCGATATTTCTGTGGCACAATACAAAATAACTCAAACAGGTGCTATTATGGCTAAATAAGAAACAATCACCATGGAAACCAAGAGTAGAAGTCTTAACTTTTAGCACTTTCCAAAAAACATAGCACCTATTTCACAGTGATAGATCTCCCCCATTGTGCTTTTCCGCAAAGTTATACGGTTGTGAATTTATTGTAATTCTGTTTTTCTGTAATTAGTTCTTCCGCAGTAATAAATTGAGAAATTCTAATTTTTATTATGTATGGGCAAACTGTAGTCATCTAAAACGTCTATGATCCTTTGAAAGGTTGTGTGCAATAACTAAATCTGGTAGAGGAACACAAAAACTGTAAATTACGATACCTAAATCAGGGTTCAAAAATTCCACTTGGAATTGACCTCTTGTGTGCCATGGATCCTCCAGTCTTGCAGTGTTAAGTAACTGTTAGATCCAGTCTAGTAAAGTAGGACTTTTTGAGCACTAGCTGAAATTAACCACAGGTTGTCCAAGCCTGCCTTCAGAAAACACTTCTGTCATATTAGGCTAATCAAATCCTACATGGAGAAGTTCACAGAGCTGACAAGTTTTAGATTCAATGAAATTTAATTTTGGTCATGATGATGAAATATTCGTAGTTAACAGACTTGTGCACAGTGTAAACATTTGGCTTGGCTGAAATGATTCTTCCAAAAAAGAAATTTAATTTTCAAATCTGAAATCTATCCTTGTTTCATTTTGGATCAGACAAATTTTGACCGTGCAATAGTCTGGGGAAAAACAGTTTAGACCAAAAAAGGGGGGCAACAATTGGCCAATTTTTCACTGCTCCTCTATTTTTTCCTTCTATTGGTCACTTCTCACTTTAACTAAAAGCAACATTTAGTGGCTGTACCCTAATCATTAATCATCTTTTTTCCCCATTAGTTTATTTTCTTTTGGTGCCATAGATAGAACTTCGAATTATGAAAAAATAATAGTTTGTCCATTGTCCGTTTTGTGAGGCGGTCATATGGCAATATGAAGTTATAAAGTTCAGATGACCCACCAGTTGCCCAACATTCAGAAAAATCGCTGATCATTTAAAACCAAATGCACAGGTTTAATAGTTAGTCAGCAGCTAAAGGCAGAACAAATGGTACATAGTTACTGCTGCATCCAGTGCTCAGAGTCAGGGATCCACAGTATTCTCTTAAGGTATTACCATAGTGCTGCAATAAACTGTAGCAGTTCAAATCCAATATTCAGATGCACTTTATTAATACCTCACCAACATACAGAGGGGTATTTTAGTATTGTCAGTTTTTTATTCAATTTTGAACTTTACTAACATAAGATTATTTCCTTTATTTTAAAGTCTGAACACCACCATGTTTGAAAAACAGTCTCTTCTCCTGCTGATAGCTATTTCCCTGACTTGTAAAGCTCAGCAAATTGATAAGTGTGCTGGGATCCCAGGTCTTCCTGGCACTCCAGGTGTGAACGGGGTTCCAGGCAGAGATGGAAGGGATGGCATAAAGGGAAATACTGGATTACCAGGTAAATTTAGCCATATTTCATGCAAACTAGTCTGCAGGAAAATAGTAATATAAACATCAGTCATTGAAGAAACAATTATCATAAAAAGCAAAATTCATATTTAATATATACAAACATGCAGTTTAATTGTTTGAGCAATTGGCCAACACTGGTGTTTGCCAAATTAAGATATACTCTGCTTGCTGCACCCTTTTATTAACATGTTCATTTTATAAAAAATAAATATATTCAAAATTGCTGGTAATTGTGGGTGGTTTCATTGAAGTAGTGAAGGGTGAAGAAGCCCTGACAAGTTCTAACCCTCAAGTTGTTGAGTTTTCTATAGATACTATAAAGATCAGGGACGTATTAGCCGCGAGGCAAACAAGGCATTTGCCTTGGGCGGCATTTTTCAGGGGGCGGCAAAAAACGCCGCCCCCCAAATGCCCAGGGCAGATGCCTTGTTAGCCTTGCGGCTAACTGACATCCCGGGCGGCCGGCGAGGGAGAGCACTTCCCATGAGCTGACTGCTCAGCTCCCTCGCGCACCGCAAAGTGAGGCTGGGAGCCGGAAGATGACGTCATCTTCCGGTTCCCAGCCTCACTCTGCAGCCGACGCCCGAGGGAGCTGAGCAGTCAGCTCATGGGAAGTGCTCCCTCGCCGGCCGCCCGCCTGCCAGCGCCGCCCGCCCTGCAGCCACTGGACCACCAGGGAGAGAGACCCCCCCCAGCACTCCCAAAGGTAAGGAGGTTGGGGGGGGATTTAAATAAAATAAAAAGTTAATGTGTGTGTGTGTGTGTGTGTGTCTGACTGTGTGTGTGTGTGTGTGTGTCCTGACTGTGTGTGTGTG